AGGCCCCTCCTTGAGAACTGTAGTATAGTCTAGGCTCCATATCAAGATACTCATATAAACCGCATTGAATCAGTTCAAAAACAGTTTCTATTATTTGCTCTAAGAAAGTTAGGGTGGACGAGTTTACCCTTACCATCTTATGAGTCTCGATGTATGTTCATCAATTTGGATGCCCTTGAAAAGCGAAGGCAGTTTGCAATGATAGCTTTTATAAACGATGTTGTAGCACAAAGAGTGAATGCCACAGAGATTTTAGAAAATCTAAATTTTTATGCTCCCACTCGTTCCTTAAGAAACAGAAATATGTTTTATATTCACAACCAAAGAACAAACTATGCCAGGAACGCGCCTTTAAATAGAATGATGTCTTGTTATAATAAACATTATGAAACAATTGATTTGACAATGAACAAAAATGCTCTTAAAAAACGTTTCTTTTCGAGGTTAGTCAGAGATTGAAAATTAAAATAGATGTTAAGTGTTTTTGTAAATTAAACTGGTCTACATTTGATTGACGACGAATAAATAAATAAATAAATAAATAAAAGGTACAAGACAATAACACTTTATCTTCCGCTATCCAATAAGCCTCCTCCATCAGAACGGGATCCACTTTCATTGGTTTCATTGTATGGCAGTATCGCCAACGGGGGCAGAGTGCTTCCATTGCAGCAATAAACGCAAAACGTGGTCAGCACTCACACACCCATCACGAAACGGTTGCTTCCCAAAGTCGACGACACATCGAACTGCTGATGAAGAACAACGAGGAGGACCACATAATGGTTGCTGCCGAGTAAACAGACGATGGCGTGACACAAATCGAGAGTGGCCTGCTTCTGTCGACAGCCGAATGAACACTGTACCTGACAATGCCTTTATTTTTAAATCGTTGGCCACTACAGTGATCTACAAATATCTTCGAGGTCTCAACATAACTCTCTTTCATAGAGAAATTCCTGCGAAGTCGTTTAGAATACCCTTCAGACTTTTTGTTTTGGAATTCTTCTCAGAATTCTCGTAGAATTTACTTCAGATAAGCATTGAATATGTTTTTTTTTTTTTGAGGAATCGCATAATTCTCCTGAAAAGACTCTTGGAGTTCTTCTCAGCATTTCCTGGTAATCAATTTAAGCAATGCATTTTTTTGTTTGGATCAATATCTATACAAATCCTTAATAAACAATACGGATACAATGAAAAATTAAAAAGTTACAGATAACTGTTGATGATTGTTTATAAGTTGAACAGTCCTTAGGCAGTTCAGGGAGCGGTTTGACAAGTGACTACGGTTCACGGGAGGGTCTAAAATGGCTCAAAAACTATCTACGTGATTTATGAACAGCCCTTATTAAATTGAAACTAAATTGCATAAGAAATAATTTGTTCAATAACTCTTTCTTCGAAATAGATTTTGGATCATAGCTCTGATCTGAGCTGCATAATCCTTTTAACTATGAAGTAAACCAAGAAGTAACATTATGCAAATATATTGCAGTCATTTAAACATGACCCAGCTTTTAAACTTTCTGGTGGATTCCACACGACCGCCACACCACTGAGCGGCTGCTGTAAATTTTTGTATAGTTCGTTAATTGGAATATCAAACTTTAAATTTATCACATTTAGGGTGTCTACTCATTTTACTAAATAAAATCATTTGAGTTTTCCAGGACTTTAATGAGAAATTTTAAGGTTTTGAAGATTTTTTTATTTTATTTTATGTGAATGTTTTTGGAATGGCCCTCAAAATTCCTTAGGATCTCTTTTTCTAGTTTTCCAAAGATAACTACAGGAACAGCGCATAAAATTCTCCATAGTATTCCTTTGAAATTTACCTCAAAACTTCGCTGAAAGTTTCCTTGAAATCTTTTTTGAAATACTCTTCTAACAGTGCTTTTGGTACGTACCATCACCGGCGCCGGTGGTGTAGTGGTAAGCGCGACTGCTTTCTCACCCCAATGGGTCTGGGTTCAATCCCAGCCGAGGTCGGTCGGATTTTTCTGAGGCATAAAAATGTGACCAGAGAAGGGAAGGGAAGTAAAGCCCCTATGGGTCCCGGCCCATATGTGTTTGAATGGGTGCGATATCCTACGCAGGTGTGGAAGCTGCCTTCCTGCACATTCGATTGCCGTCATCTTCTTCTTCTTCCTCACATTTCAAGCTTATTGCGTATGGCATATTAGCTTATTGCGTGCTCTCAACTTAGTGTTCTAGATGCACTTCCACAGTTATTAATTGAGAGTTTTTGATGCCTGTACCATTTTTGCATTAGTATAATTGTGTGGCAAGTACAATCATACTCTATGCCCAGGGAAGTCGAGAAATTTTCCAACCCGAAAAATTCCTAGACCGGGATTCTACTTGCAATTACTCAGAAGTTCTCCATAGAATTAACTTTCAGTTCTCCTTATAAATCTCTTAAAAAGTTACCTCAACATTACTCTTTGAATTCTCATTGGAATTGCTACGGCATGCTTCACATAATTCTCTAGTAAATTTACTTTAAATCCTACTTTTATTACCTTGGAATTCTCCTAACGGTTAACCTGGAGTATGGATTTCTTCAGAACTAATTTGATAGGAATCCTCAATCATTTCGTAAATATTCATCTTCTGATAATTTCCTCTAAATTCCCTTGAAATCTATCCTAGCGATGCTTGGAAATTCCTATCACATTAAGTCATAAAATTTCATAAGCTTTGAAAGTTTCGCAAGGCCCCTAATTTATTAGAATTCTGGATTCTTGGAATTTATATTTTCCTGAGGATTCCAGATTTTCCATGATTTTCCAGGTTTTTACAGGTGCTAATAACTGAGCTGGTAGTGGTTATGTGATGAAATAGTAGTGACTTTAGTGACTAAAATAACGAAAATAGTTACCAAGTAGTGACTTGTACACAATAAAGGTTGAACACGAAAAAATCCGGACACAATAAAAGATTGACCAGAAGAGTGCCCCGGAAGAATGTAAAATTAAAAACAAGTCGATATTCCCCAAAAAGTTCCCTGTCTGGCAAGCAATCTGCAGTTGTGGGCTGAAAAGCGAAACTTTCGTTACTTCTGGCACCATGATCCAGCAAATTTACCAAAAGGAGTGCCTACGGAAGAGATTGTTGCCTTTTCTGGAGCAGCATGAGGTGGATTTCCTATTCTGGCGGGACTTGGCAGGTTGCCACTACTCAAATTCCAGCAAACAGTGGCACAGCGAAAATGGCGTCACAGTGGTTCCCAAGGAGATTAATCCGGCCAATACTCCGGAACTAAGGTCAATTGAGGAATACTGGTCAACTGTGAAGCACATGCTGAAAAAAGGGTGGAACTGCAATTGACCTGAAGGATTTCAAGCGAAAATGGAATTTGGCAGCCAAACAAGTGGGGGTAGGGCTCGTGCAAAAGATGATGAGCCGTGTACGAAGAAAAGTTCGAGCAATGGCTTATGGTAAAAAGGAAGACTGAAATACTGGTCTTGCAATATAATACCTACTAATGTTACATTGAACTATGAAAAATAAAACACAATGCTAAACTCCAACAAGATTTTCGTGTCCGGATTTTTACGTGTACAACCCAACGTCCATAGATTATACGATTGAATCACGCAGAATTTGGGAATTTTTTTTTAAATGAAAAAGTACAAGGATATTTAGAAATCATATTTTATCAAACTTTTTTAAAAGAAGCTAATTAATAAAAAATTGATACTAGTATCCATCAACTAATTGGCATTTAATACAAGGAACTCATTTTCTCTTACCATTGATCATTTTGTTTACGTCTGGTAAGGGCTGTTACTAAATAGTTCGCTTTTGAAAAAAATATAGCTTTAAATTATGTCAACGTTTAAACACTTCCCAACATATTTAAACATAATTTAACATATTTCAACCGTTGCCATTTTGTGCATCATATATTTATGTATACAACAAAAATAAAACAAAAAAGAAAACATAAATTGTTTCTTATTTTGGCCACGGTTTTTGTTCTAGGTTCTCCTCTGAGCACAGGAGATTTAAGGAAAAGTTTTCATTGTGGTCCACCTTCAATCCAAAAATTGTTTACACCAAGCTCCAGCTAAATTCAATAACTCTCAATCAAAACCATAGAAATAATTAAAAAAAAAAAAAAAAAAACATCAGAAAATGTATTGACATGTCGTCACTTGTCACTTGTGCAGTGTTTAAGATAGGGGAAATGGATGTAATGCCGGCCTAAATGCCCCTAATTTGGACCCATACATAAATTCAACAATCGACTAAACTTTTAATAGCGACCATTAGTACCGTCCAAATGACGAATTCATCTAGATAAAATTTATAAATAACAGATTGTTAGCGATAGGCCCAATCTTAGATCTATAGGCCAACATTAGGGCCATTTCCCCTATTACTAGAAAAATCCTCATATCGTACTTATATGTATGGTTTTTTTTTTGTGATTTTTCTATGTAACAAATGATAGCTACGAGTCACACAGTGTACACATAAAGGTAATGTATGACCACACATTCATGGAGTATCATTGTGTTTGTCACAAACTGCGAATACAGATAGCTCTCAATTAATAACTGTGGACGTTCATCTAGAACACTAAGTTGATAGCCGGCTAAACGCTCGCAACAGAAGATTGAAAAGCCTAGAAGAAGAAAAAGATCACACATACTATTCATTTGGCACATAAGTTTCACGGGTACATCTGAGTGGGTTATGTTTATGCGTGTGCACACTAATATTGGATTTTGAAAAGTCTTCACATGCCTGCTAAAAAATTAAATATCTTCAAAATGTCAATCTAAAAATTAAAATAAGACTTCCATTCCTGCACATCAGCTGTCAACCAATCGTATTGAATCTGCATTATATTTCCTTTTTAAAAAATAGATTTAGAGAAACCCATTTGAAGCTTGCACTCCTACTATCACTGAGCCACAGAAACTAGCAAACTGATAAGAAAGCATCCCAGCTACTAACCATTACCCGCAAATTAATCACAACCGTTCTCGATTAAGCAATGCATCTACGGAGCGTCCTTACGTAAGTCAACGCTGATTCCCACTCAGTTGCAAACCTAACCTTGATTTCCTTTTAATTTCAGTGCCGCCCTCGCGTTTAACCTGCTCCGATCCAGCGCAGCCTGGCTGTTCAACTGCAAACGCGCTGGTTTCGGAGCTTACACCATCCAGAAGAACTGCCGCATGGAGAATGTGTTCATCGACAACGCAACCACCCTGTACCGGGTGTTCTTTCCTCCGGTTGAGCTGGAAATCTACTACGGATCGATTCCGGACTTCAATCGTGCTGTTGCTTCGCGAATGAGCAGCAAAACGAAACGGCTGACGATACTGTATTCCAAAGTGGAACAGATTTTTCTCAGAGACTCCTTGGAATACGTGGAACTGATGCACAATGCCATCTCCGAGGTGGAGTTCGATTCGGCGCAGCATATGAAAGTTTGGATGTTACGGTTGAACTATAACCTGCTACGGGATGCTTCGTTTGTGAGCGACATCAAAACGCTAGTGATACTGGGGCTCAGGAACAACTTGATCACCACTGTAAGCTGGAACACGTTTGCGAAATTGAAACTGTTGAAAACGTTGGATCTTGGAGGAAATCCGATCAAACAGGTCGATTGTAGTGGCGACTTGAAGTTACCATCATTGAAGCGTCTTATTTTGTCGGAGAACAGCATTACTCATTTCGATCTTAGAAGTATCGTCATGAATGATTTGAAGGAATTTAACATTTCGTCCAATCAACTTCTTACGCTGAATACTTTCCAATTCGAAAGGGCATTCCCATCGATGGAGGAAGTCGATTTGAATAATAACCCATGGAACTGCGGTCGACAGGATACGATTCAAAATTTGTTGATGATCAAAAGAATCAAAAGACACAAACCGACAACTACGAAGCGAATCGTATGCCACGAAGACCATTTGGAACTAATGGCGCTGAGTGCACCTGATGGAATCGATAAGTTGGCAAACAGCTTCAATCTCACGAAAAGTTCGCATCACAATCTGCTTAATATGCACAACATTAACACAAGGCTTACGAATGCGCACGAAAGGATTTCTTTTCTTGAACAAATTTTGATTGAGACCAGCAGTGCAACTAACGATCTACTCCGGAAAGTAAACCTTCTCTTCAAACTGAACAACCTACGAACGTCACGTAACATAAATATGCGCAGCTGAGTGATGTGTTAGCATCAACATTATCAACCAAAACAAAGAAAGAAGCATAATAAAGCAGTAAAACCATAAGGTTGTCGCTTTATTCGGTCGGTCCTAGATCCGGAAGGAAGGATTTCCGTTCCGGTAAGCCTTCCTGCCCAAGGTCCAGTCACGAAACATCAAAGTTATCCTGTCGCCATCTGTTTCATGCATTCTCTCACTCACTCTAGCCTAACTGCAGAATATTTAGTTGTTTGTCAACAAAATCCTTCTTTTGTGCGGATTGAACCCTTTGTGCGTGTGTGAGGACTGAAAGTATGTCAATAAGCGTGTCCTAGGGATTTTGTTTATCTTTTCTTCCGCCAATGAACGAACGTAATGGGTGCATTTTTTGTACGCTTTCCACTTCCGATATGTTTTGTTTACGTAGGAAAGGGCAGTTGAGTCGTTTTTATTATTGCATTGAACGGTGTTAAGCTAAACGTTGAAATAGAAGCTTATAATTTAAACCCAAGTAACATTTTTGGTTTTATCATGGTTTTGAAGAGATTTATAAGTCTTCGAATGCACTTGAGAAGCATAGTAAAACAGGAAAAATATTGCTTGAATAAACTATACTTGTGGACAAAATTTAATAAAATATTATGACCTTTATGCTAATTTCTAATTGCTAATCCCCAATTGTTTTAGAAATTTTGAAATTGATACAATGAGGGAATCTCAGAGCTAGAAAATGCTTTAACACTCCGTATACTGTACTAATTTATTTTTAAATTGAGAGATTTTAGAAATTTTCTATGATTGTAAAGCTTTGTCTTTTGTGTAAAAATTAAAAAAAATGATTTTTTTATCAATTTTTTTAAAAATTTAAAATTTTTTATTGGCATTACGAACCAAAACAAACTAAGCTGTAGCGCGACAAACATGTCACAATTATTTTTCGCTGGCTACGCTACATCCCAAGTAAAATTTTAAGTTTTATGAAATACTACAAAGCTACTATAAAACAACATTCCTAAAACCCTGGTTAAGGCTTCTTTGCCATTGAAGCATCCACCAAAACCTCATTAAGACTAGAATGTAGTTGGCCCACCTTGGAGAAGGTTCTGAAGGGTGTATTCTCGAAGCTCTTCAAGATAGACGAACGCATTGAGAACCATTTGAAAACCATATTTAAGCTACACTAAAAGCTATTTGGCAAGGCATTTTTCCTAGCCGCTTGCTAAATACACTAGCAAAGCATCAATCAACATAGCCAAGGATTCTTAAATACCAGTCAAAATAATTAAAATAAATACTGATCATATGAAAATCTTGAATTTCTAAAATTGTTAAAATTGTTCTCATAAAGTGACCTAGGCTTAGGTACCATATTGAATTTTTCGTGAAATGTACACTCCCGAGCATAAGTTTAAGGACACCCCCAAAAAACATGACAAATTTGTTATGTTCATATCTGTGCCATGTTACGTCCAATTTTCGTTCTCTTTAGATCATTTGAAATGTATTGAATGGAACTTTCCTCGTAGGCAAATTGTTCAATATAATTTTCAAATTTTGTGTGCTTAAAGTTCACCCATAGTTAAAAAATTTAAAAAAATTTATTCTGTAGAATCGTGCCTGATTTTTTCAGAATTGGGTTGGCCAAATTTTGAAATAAAAGTAGTAGTAAAACACTTAGGGATCGTCCATTAATTATGTCACACTTTTAGGGGGAGGAGGTTTTGGAAACTGTTACGAGCCTTACAAAAAACAATTAAGGTCCATATAAAAAATGTGACAAAGGGGGGAGGGGGAGGGTTGAAAATGGGCCAAATTTGCGTGACATAATTAATGAACCGTCCTTTATGCTATACCATTCATACCATTCAAATAACCTTTGGAGATCGAAAATTGAACAAAACATATTTGTATGGTTTTTTGGGGTGTCCTTAAACTTATCATCGGTAGTGTACGTGAAAACATCGAAAAAAATAAGTCCCCCCTCGGAAAACGTCAATTTTAGTAATTATTTTACATTGAGAAAAAAATTTCTTCAGATCGATCGTTAAGCTTAGCCGAGATTTGTTTATGATTTTCACATTTTAAATATATATATTCTTTGCCAAATTCACCAAAATAAAGTTTTTTTTTTCCAGGGAAATACAGATTTAAAATCAAAGATTGTAAAAAACAAACGAAATAATTGTAATATGGCGGTGGCAGAAAAGTTAATTTTCATAGGCCATTTGTAATAAAGTTGTTTGGCTTTCAAGAAATTCCTAACAAATTCATAAGGTTTTAATATGGCTTTTATGAAGAAAACTTGCAGACTGAATTGTATTTACCCAAGGCCATTTTGCGTGATCATAACCCGTTTAGATTTATGGCAGCATTTATGGAGGCAGAGTTGCCTGCAAAAAGTTTAACGTCAAAATTTGTTTATCATTCGATAGTTGTGCTGTGCGATCCAGCGTTCTTCCAGGTGATTTTTTCCCCATGGATTGGAAGCAGTTACTCAGAAAGTGTATGATACTGTTTTACAACATTTCGCATTTCGAACAGCTCAATCGTTCCCGAAAAAGATCCCATTCTTCCGGATGGTTCCCGAAGTGCAGGAATGTACGCTTGAATGATTTTTTTCGAAGAGTTGAATCTTTCGCCGAATCAGATTGGAGTCTCTGCTAGAGATTGGAATCCAGCTAATCTATGGCAGTTTTAGTGGTTTGCTATCGGTACTGATGCAAGTTATTCCGATCGTCATCTATTCACAAGATCTGGAGAACGCTGGTATGCTTTTAGACACTTCCGACAATGTTTTATGAATTCAAGGGCGCCAGATGGTCAGTCGTTTATGGTACCGGTTCAGCCGGACGTGTTGGTTCTAAAGAACTAAATCATCGCTTGAAATTTTCATCCTACTTTGTCTATCTTTCGAGATTTCCTTGTCATAAATTTGGCTTTTATTCACTATGAAGATCCATCTTTTTAGTAAGCAGAGTAATATTATGATACACTTTAACAAGCTTAAAAAGCAAAAATATACACTTTGTGCTCTTATTTATCACCTAATGGCTTTATGGTTGCTTTTATAACGATAGAACACGTTTATAGAATATTTTATCAAGACATTAATAAACAATTGCTAATGAAGTTAATAATTGAATTACAGAACATTTTTACGGAGGGATTGAGAGCTGCTTTAAATATATTTTTGGAAAAATACAGTTTTTGACTTCATCGCCAGACTATAAAAGGTGTTAAAAACAGCAAACACTTTAAAATGCTGTATTGCTGTAAATGGATTGATCGTTGCCGTTATAAAACCATCATAAATCAAAGTGGATGCCAAATGGTTGCTGAATTGTTACTTGGGATTTTCGCACACAACAGAAAACGAGACGCAGGTTTGTTTATCTTATTTACCCTAAATCCCACATTCATCAGAATATTTTTGACTTTTAAATTTTTTGGTGATCCTAGATTTAGAAAAAATAACCGAATCGTTAATTCAATTGAGACAAATACTCAATATGATTTTAAAAAGCTTCCAAGAACCAATATAATCGGTTCTGGAAAATGTTCAAGGCTCTGGGACTTGGTAGACTTCTGAGGGTACAAACAGCTTAAGAAATAAATATTCCGTACAATTCTGACGCGGTTACCTTGAGGAATATAAGAAGAATTTGTGTGTTAATATAAAAAAAATGCCAAGGAGAATTCTTATAAAACTTTTCGTAAAATTGTAAGGAGTTCTAACCAACATTATTCTGCGATGAAGTCGTAAGGAATTTTGAGATGAAGTCCATGGGATTTCTGGATAGGTGAAATTCTGGGGATATGAAAGTTCTGGATTGAATTTCTATGTTATTCTTAAAATAGTTCCAAGAGAAGAAGTTCCAGAATAATTGCAATGTGATTTTGATGAGAATTGTATGGGGGTCTTGAGGAGAACAAGAATTATAAACATAATTTAAGGGAGCATAATTCAAATGAATTCCTAGAAGAATACCCAAAGAATCGAATTTTCAGGATTATTCAAACAGACAAGTTGGAGGAAAATTGAAAAGAAATTTTAAGCAAATTCTAAGGGATTTCTGAAGATAATTTGGAAAGATTTCTGCGGAGAGTTTTGACTAGAGTTTAAAGAAGAAAAGAATGGCAAAGGGATCGAATTGTCAGGATAGGTGTAAAAGAATTTTAAGGAGGATTCACTGCCTTTAACAATTTTAATGTGTATTTATGCTAATGCAAATTGATTGAAAAATTAATCGCTTAGCCGAACCATTTCTGATTCGAGAATCGCATTCACCTCGCTCAAGTGAACGGCCTCTGTTTTTCAAGTAAAGTTGTAAAAAGTCCTAAATTACCGCAAGCTCCGCTCGTGCGTGAATGGCCTTTCCTGGTGAAAACAATTTTCATTCATTCAAAACACGCAACGCTTGGAGCGCGAGTGTGTTAATTAAAACCGGAACCAAAACTTAAACACCGACAAAATAAACAACACCGTTCCGGAGCTAACTTTCTGGAACAGCCAATTCGGAAACTACATGTTGGTATATCTATGCGTGCCCCTTCTTATGAACCAAGTTTCGTGTGGAGCCAATTTTAGATACACTTACACATCAAACCGAAATATGGCGACGAACATCAGCATGTGTCGTATGAATGAATGAGAGGAAAAATGCATGAATGAAAAGAAAGGAAGTGCCTACTCGGTTTGACGGTATATAACTTCACCAAAGAAGTCACCGGATCTGAATCGGAAGGAACGGAACGACACATTCATCTTCTCATTACCGCTCGATTCCATCACGACCACGACCCAAAACATAAAAAGGCAAATTGCTTTCCACCGTGTCGGCTTCACCGCATTGCAACGCTTGTTCCTTCCTTCCTTCCGCTTTTTCACAACGCCAATCAACGGAAGAAGTGTGTGTATGTATACCCGAGAACCAAAGACGGCCCCTATAGTATTCCGTTTCACAAGTCATTTCATTTCATTCATAAAATTCTATTGATTCATTCATATCGTTTTTGCCGGAGGGTGGAGTTGTTTGCGGTGTGTGAGAAAAGAGGTCACACGACAAGACGGGATGAAGGAGCATTCTCTTATGCTTTGCGCTAGTTCCGGATTTTGTTGGCTTTTTCTTGAGGAAATAGAGATTTTGAAATAAAAAAAAATAAAAATGTATAGCTATTAAAATGAAAAAAAAAAAAAAAATAGGTGCCAAATGGACAAATCGTCAAATGGTCATAAATAACGAAAAAAGCCATAAAAGCTCCAAAATAGGCTTCTAAACGTCAAAATTACAACTTCCATTTGCCGGGGGCTCCCACCATCGCGGGATGCGGGAAATATTTATTAAATATCCCGGGAATTCCGGGATCCCGGAAAGTGAATAAAGATAGTAGATTATTTTAATAGTCGT